TAACTGCTATTTTAGATGAATAAAAAGTTATGAATAAATCTATTATTTAGTTAAATTTAAAAAAAAACGTCATCTTTGTTGTTTAACAAAAACACAACATATTGGAGTTTGCTTCTATTTTGGTCTCCATAATGCTTATAATACAATACTTTTTACCGATCATTATTTTCAATATTCTGTACTTCTGCGTCTTCTCGTAATGTTGTTCATTTTCTTCTAAAACTAAATTATAGATGTATCTTCTTCTTATTATTGTTATTTATTATTTCTGCTTCTGTCATCCCCTGACATTTTTTATTCCTTAGTATTAATTTAAAAAAGTATATACTTAAGTAGGTATGAAGCTATGGAGAGAGCTATGCTTGGGATTTCTCTGCGTGATAAACTTACAAATGAGGATATCCGCAGTAGAACAAGAGTGGCCAACATAGCCCAACGGATTAGTAAGCTGAAGTGGCAATGGGCCGGCCATATAGCTCGAAGAACCGACAACCGATGGGGAAAAAAGGTGCTTGAGTGGCAGCCTCGTACCGGTCTGAGAAGTGTAGAGCGACTAGATGGAGTGACGACCTTGTAATACATGCAGGAAGTCGATGGACTCAGCAGCGTGCTTTTTGGGGTTTTTTGGGAGCCTATGTTCAGAAGTGGACTTGTGAAGTACCACCGGTAAATAGTATCCTCCTTTTTTGAAAGTCGGTAAAAAATGATAAGCTGTCCCATCACTAGTTATGATATTCTCATACAAGATGATCTGGGTGAGACAAAGGAAAACACGTCCGTACAGTTCAACCATTTATTGCGAGAGAGAGAGAGAGAGATCACAACTACCTTCTTTATAATAATAATAAGCTTACCCTACATTACACCTCCACCCTTATTCTAAACGTATTTAAACTAATATAAAATAAAACACATATCACTTAACTAACTTACAACTAATCAAAATCAAATCCATAACGTCACGGGGCCCTACGAGTTCTAGGCGGGTTGAGGCGCTCCTTCGCCGGGCTCGGAGCCGCGGGCGCCGGTTGCGGGGCGGGCGGGGGGTGCGAGGACGTCCCGGCGGGCGCGGACCCGGCCGCGGCCTCTCTGCCACTCGAACCGGCCTCTTCCTCCACCACCGGAGAGGAGCTATTCGGATACACTAGATAGGAACGTGATAATGAACCTCTTCCTCCTTCTGAAACATCCCGGTCTTCCCCTTCCCTATCCGGCTCCCCCGATCGTGGTCTTATCTGGTCGACATGTCTATGAATAAAGACTTTATCAGCCCCTAGAATATTATAATCCGTTTCTCCTAGTCTGGAGTGTACTTCTCCTTTTAACCATTTTACAACCGAGTTACGATAATCGCGGTACCACACACGGTCCCCCGGCGCGAATTGCCGGCGACTGCCGCCCCCCGCACGCGGGGCCCCAGCTCCGGCTTCAGACAGTCGAGGCGTGTGCGCAGTGAACGACCTTGTAATAATTTCGCGGGGCTCACACCGGTAGTACAGTGTTCGGTGTAAATACGAGTAGAAACCTATTAACCGCATCGATATTCACACCCTGTACCAGTGCCTTCTTTATAACTCGCTTGCAAATTCTTACCGCATTCTCAGCTGCGCCATTCGAAGCCGAGTGATAGGGTGCTGAAAATATTTGTTCTATGCCGGTATCCTTAAGAAATAACTGAAATTCCTGACTAGTAAATGGCGGACCGTTGTCACTCACTATCTGTCTTGGCAGACCGAATCTAGCCAACATTTCCCTTAATTTGCTTATAAAATTTTTTGCCGAAATGGAACTCATAGCAGTGACTTCGACCCATTTAGAATGAGCATCCATGGTGACTAAGTAAGTAGTACCCCCTATCGGCCCTAAAAAATCGAGATGCAGTCGCGACCACGGACGCTCTGGCCACAGCCACGGGCGCGGCTCGTGTCGCTCCGGCGCGTCCGCCACGCGCGCGCACACCGAGCAGGCGCGGCACACGGCCTCCACCGCCTCGTCGATCCCCGGCCACCACACGTAGCTGCGAGCGAACTGTTTCGTCTTAGTGATCCCCATGTGAGCCTCATGTACCTCCGCGAGAACTTTCTCCCTGCAACTAGAAGGTACCACTACTCTGTGACCCCACATACGCACCCCAGTTCCTCGTATAACTCTTTCTTTCTGTGAAAGTATGGTTTGATATCTTTTATTTCGATATCTTGCGGCCAACCGTCCCGTATATAACCGAGGACCCGCCCGAGTATCGCGTCCCTCGCGGTTTCCCACTTTAAACTATTATTGTCTATTAATAAGGCCTCTGACGCGAAATGTAAATAAGTTTGTTCCGGAAATTCTCGATTTTCGCCTCTCTTTACGGGTAGAAATCATTCGCGACAATGCATCCGCCACATTATCATTAGTTGAGACGTATTCGATATCGAAATCGTAAGCTGTTAATATTAAAGCCCATCTCTGTAATCTACTGGCCGTCATGCTAGGAATACCTTGGTGTGGACCGAATATTGTGACTAACGGTTTATGATCCGTCCGCAATGTAAACCGTCGCCCGTAAATATACTGGTGAAACTTTTTCACAGCAAATACAATAGCTAACGCCTCTTTTTGTATCTGACTGTAGTTGCATTCCGCGGCGGTGAGCGCGCGCGACACGCACATGACGGGGCGCTCGCGGCCGGCCGCGTCGTGCTGCGCCAGCACGGCGCCGAGCCCGCGCGCGCAGGCATCACACGTCACAACTAGCGGCGCGCCCGGCTCGTAGTGGCTCAGCGCGACCGCGTCACTCAAACGTCTCTTAACTACAGTGAAAGCCTGCTGTTCTAATCTACCCCATTTCCATGTCGAGTCTTTTTTAGTAGTTCGTAAAGTGGCTGTAAAATGGTACTCAAATTGGTCACGAAACGGCTATAAAAATTGACCATTCCTAAAAATAACCGAAGTTCCGAAATATCTTTGGGTGGTGACATCAACAGAATCGATTTTATCTTGTCAGGATCGGGGTGGATTCCCTCTTTATTTATTACATAACCCAAATATTTCACTTTTTCTACAAAAAATTCACATTTTTCCCTTTTTAATTTAAGACCGGACTCTTTCAATTTATCTAGCACTTTACGTAAAATATGTATATGGTTTTCGATAGTATCCGAAGCGATCAAAACGTCATCCAAAAATACTACAACCCCCTCGATACCTTTTAACAAGTTAACCATTATTCTTTGAAAAATTCCCAGACTGTGTGCTAAGCCGAAAACAAGTCTGTTGTATATAAACAAACCGCGATGGGTGTTAATTACTGTGTACTTTTTGGTATCATCAAGCTCGATCTGATTGTATGCCTGTGATAAGTCTATTTTGCTAAAAAATTTACTTCCCCCTAATTGCGACAATAAGTCGTCAATTTTAGGCACTGGGTACTTGTCGCCGCGCATATTCGAATAGCTCCATCCGATTTTTTTGACAATAACGAGAGGAGTCGCCCAGTCCGAGCACTCGACGGGCTCAATGACGCTCAGTTCGGCGTCCACGCGCTCCCACAGCGCGTACGGCAGCGGCCGCGCGCGGCAGAACACCGGAGCACGCGCCCGCGCGCACCGCCAGCCGAGCCCGCCCGCCCGTGAAGCGCCCCAGCCCGCCGTCGAACAACTCAGCATAGCTGAAAAACAATTCATTTACGGCATGAGATACATTCATGGCTGATTCGTTTAACATGTTTACATTAAATTTTGGTACGCTGATATCAAGTTCTGACAACCACTGTCTGCCTAATAAAGTAGTAGTACCGTTATTGATAACATATAAGTCTAAAACTCTGCTAGATCGCCCATATGTCACATTAACCTAGCAGTAACCTAGTGGCTTTATTTTTGTTCCATCACAAAAGGTTAGTGCTAAATCACATGGTAATAATGGTAAATGATTAAATGTATCTTCATACGTGGTTTTACTAATACACGACAACGCCGAGCCTGTGTCTATTTCCATGTTTAAGTTATGTCCACTCACTAATGTCGCAACTACACGTTGGCCAACACAGTGGCGAATGTAGTGGCGAATATATTGGCCAAGAGTTGGTGACGGCGTCTACACGTTGGAAGGTCGTTCAGTTTACTTCCGTTCGGGCCAATGTGCGGACGGACGACGGCTCCGTGGCGCAGTGGCTTAGCAATGAGTGGCTGCGCCGGGGGCCGCGAGTTTGAATCCCGCACGGAACAAGTATTTGTATATACTACAACTAATTGTTCCGGGTCTGAATGTGTGTCCTTGTGCAATTTATGTTTGTAAACTGCCTCCGCGATACAGGAGAAAATCCAAGTGTGGGGATAACCTTTTTATTAAAAAAAATATACAAGAATAGTTGATATTAATGGGGCTGTAAATAGATATACGATATACGATTAGCTTTATTTATTCTCTACATGCATCATAAACTGGAATAAATACCATAAATTAGAACTTAACTTATTTTAAAGTTAAAGGAGTTATAATCGATTAGTCTATGTTTTAAAATTGGGTTTTGATTTTAAAGTTTAGCAAAACATGTACTTGCTTTTCTATCAGACATTTGATGTATATAAAAAACACCTTATAATTTATTTGGTAATTTAATTATTTTTTGAGGAAGACACTCTATTATCTAGAAGTTAGTGCTGTTAGTCTAGGCGACTCTTACAGCTTCATCTTGTCTCAGGCAATGAGGTGAGGATGATGATGAGATGATTTATGATTTGATATTGTTACCAATCATCATGTCGCCTTTTAGGCATTTTTCTTTGAGCTATCTGAACGCAGTCCGAGGGGGGGAGTGCGGACCCCCGTCTCTGACTGCTCAGCTAGTGTCGGTCGATGGTCTAGGCGGTGAGAACCGTCCAGGAACGCGGATGTACGGTGTGTACGCTGTGTGAGCTGGAACGCGTCGTGCCCGTCTGCGGGTGCGACGCGTCCCATTCGTTGTCCTATTAGTGTTTGTCCCATTTAGTGTGGGGTGTGTAGTATCGTTGTGTGATATGCCTGCGACGTTTGGGTCGACTGGATCGAGCGGTGAGAAAGACAAAAACAGTAGCAATAATAATTAACACTGAGTTAGTAATAGGTACTAATTATAACTTAGAAAATAAATGAAAAACTCATGACAAGGAAAGTGGCTCAAGACCATGCTTTGCGGCAGTCTGTGGAGGAGGATATTCAGTAGTAGACTTGTGAAGAGCTGTAATGATGATGATGATTCGAAAATTTGCTAAATTATAAGAAATCCACGTTTTTTTAATAGGATAGGGTGACAAACGAGCACACAGTTCACCTAATGATAAGTGGTTACAGTAGCCTACAAAATGTAGATGCGTTGTCACCCGTGAGGACTAAGATGAAATGCCTTGTTTGCTTTAAAAAGGGTCTCTAGTTCTCTACACTCACTATACGAAACACAGCATCATTCAGCTACTATTTTACGCTGATATTCTGTGAGAGCGTGGTCCTTCCCCGGTCGAGCCGACCCACTCGTGCTACAACTATACTTCTAATATAACTGCATGGTTCTACCACGTATAAACGACGTCCTTCTTCTTTTTTTTCATTTTAAAATTGTTCTCGTAATAACCTGATTGTAAATAAATGTTCGTTATTTTTTTTTTTGATAAATAGCTTATCGATTAAAACAAATGTTTAAAAATAATTAAATCGCGCTAATTAAAGTAGTAGGAATGTTTAAAGTTGAAATTGTCACTAAAAGGACGTGTAGAGGCACCGTAATAAACACAAACTCAGCGGCTTGTACTGTGACAGCGACATTTGCACCACCGGTTCTTCCTCGGGTGCCTCGTGGTACTCAGTCAATGCCGCCCCATCGTCTGCATTGACATAATTTGTTTTCGGTCTCTGATTATGTCCTCCGCGACCGCTGTTCCGGCTTTTCTTTCCAAAGCCCTGTACATTCGCCGCGTTTCCGTTGTAGGCGCCCGGCGCTACCAGGTTATTTGTGAAACACACGCGTCGTAGGTGGCACATCACGCCACACTTGCTGCATATGTAGGTTCTGAACTTGCACTCGCTGGTAACATGGTCAACACCTCCGCAAGCTCCGCATAGCGAAACGCGCACATCCGCGCGGCCTGCGCCGACGCCGCCGCCACCGCCTCCCGCCACTGCGCTGTGCCGGGCTGCCGGGTATGGCGGGATCGCTGGCCGACGCGCATGGCGTTCAGCCTCCCGTTTGCTCCGCCGCCGCCCTCGCCGCGCAGCTGACCCGCGGCCTGCGATGACGTCACCGCTGCGCCCGACTCCACGAGCGCCGCGTCCCGCTCCGCCGCCTCCAGCGATCCTGCTGAAATCACTGCCTTGTCTGTAGAACTGCACCGAATTCACAATGTCTAGATAGTTTCTTTAATGCCGCCACGTAATCACTGATCAATTCACTGTCTGTTTGTCTTCTTTGCCTAAAACAATAACGTTGCACCATCGGAGATGGTTTCGGTTGCAAATGATTACGTAATAGTACAACTGCATCCAAATACGTAAGTTCCGCGGGTTTCTTAGGACTCGCGAGGGTGGATAACAGTTCATACGCACTTTCACCCATAGCCGCGATCAAGATAGGCAATTTAATTTCGTCCTTCACTGAATCTTCCACAAAATACATTTCTAGCCGCTCCACGTAAGCAGTCCAGTTACCGGTTTTCACGTCAAACTCACTAATCTTTCCGACCGACATTTTGCACGCTGATTGTTCGCAGTCTAAATTTTCCGTATTTTCTATTTTCACGTATTTTTCGCCGATTTTCACCATTAAAATCCTCGTCGCCAGTGAGACAAAGGAAAACACGTCTGTACAGTTCAACCATTTATTGCGAGAGAGAAAGAGAGATCACAAACTACCTTCCTTATACTAATAATAAGCTTACCCTACATTACACGGGGTAAGTGTGACAGCGTCACCGATGTTAGGTATTAGGTGTAAGTGTAACTGTATCCGTATTACAAGAAATAGTGAATTTCAGGTTGCACAAACATATTACTCTATAAGTACCAATATTATTCTTTATCACTCACCTTGTATCTGGTTTAAAATAATTTAACGACATATCGAAACAATAACTTTTCCTCTTAAAATTGCGCTGTCCGTCGCCAGTTGAGTAGTTTAAAAAAATAATGTCTGTTGATAAAATAGTTCAAGCTTTGTACTTAACTGTCAGTTTATTCAATATCGTGAAATTTCATGTGTTGTTTAATAGATTGAATTAAACCAAAAACCGCATAATTTGAATTTGTTACCCTTGCCCCACTGTCACACTTGCCTTGGATGACTATAAAGGAAAGCTTATATTTAAAAAAAAAACAGGATTGAACAGAAATTTGTCGAAAATGAAATAGATATTATGTGCTGTTGGTGAATATTTTATAGCAGGTTGATATAAAAAAACAATAAGCAGACTGGTAATAAGTTGTAATAATGTGAAAACTAGTAATTATAAGCTGGTACTTGATTACAATCCCAACCGATGTCAAGTAGTTATTAAGCCCTAGATTATAAATCGCACTGAATTGGCGCATGGCGTAACGTAAAACTTATTAACTTCTACCTTGAACATGTTGAACACTATTGCATGCCTCAAAACGAGTATTTTGCAACCTGCACCCATATTGACTCTATTAAAAGTTTTCAATTATAACGAACTGTAACTGTCTGCAGATGAAGTAGTAAGTAGTAGAATTCTTTTATTTTTTCATAAATGAATTATGTTATAAACTAAGAAAGCTCTATAAAAGAAATAAAACAGCTCGGATAAACTGCTTATATTAGACAACAACGATATTGTAAATGAACGTACACAAAGAATAGAACAGGAGGAAATCGTACATAGCCACAATCCTTTTTAACACGCCCTTATTAGCATATATATATCAAGTTATCTATCCAACGAAATCCTTTATTATAATTTTGACCAACTTGTAGACGACTGATTGACATGAAAATTAGAAAAAGTGCTCTTATCAAGGACCAATGACAATACAATAATTTAATAACTTTATCCTAGTGTCATGATCAGGATCACCACGATGTAATAAAATAATTGTCGGGATCATCACATCCCATGATCAATGCTATTGGAGTTTTTAAATTCTTATATTATTATTGAGCTGGAATAAATTAAAATTACAGAGACAACAATAGATCATTAGAACATATTAATCAAATTTAATGCAGCACGATATCTCTTAGTTACAAAAACATCATCATCGCCCAAACTATTCGATTTCTATTTCACATATTTTAGCAGTCAAAGTGTCATTTTGATTAATCACTAACAAAGTGCGGCTTTCGAAAGAAATACCGGCACATAGATTTCGCGTATTGAAAGCTTTCTTAAATGCAGCTATCCACAAAAACAAAAATAGTTTTATTAAAAATGGTGATGTACATTCTGTAGATACTAGGAACAAGAAAGCACAAGTTAGTTATACTAGTTACTCGACTCCAGTGAGTCAGTAATTCCTTCATGAGGCAATGTATACGCTTTTACAACAACGTCCCCGAAAATGTGCAGACCTTTTCTGGGACGTTAATAGATCATTATCAACTTAAACAATATTAATATTTGTTAGGCAAAAATTAAACAAAAAAAAAACATTATGCTCTATGAAAAACCCGAACTTTTTTTCGGAAATAATATTTTTATTTTGGTGTAGGTATTACAATTTATGTTTTCTAGTTACATTGAAACTTTCTGCCTAGAAGAGAAGTTACCTATAGGAAAGAGATTTTTTTCTTGCTGATTCCGTTCCTGTATTTGATGAAAATTGAATAAATTTGGCAAGTTCCCTTGTCTATACTTTTATCTGGCTTACCTAATATTATAAATTTGGGTATAGCAAATAACTTTAATTTCATGTTGCTAACCGTTAAAATTGCATAAAAATATTACGAAGTTATATTTTATGTAGTAACAATGTCGACGTAACCGGAGAAGAACCACTCCATTGCAGAATATCCATATATCCATCATAAACAACAGCGTGAAATAGCATAATCTGTTGTATTTCGTATAGTGTGTTCCGTAGATTGCGTAAAGAATTCAGGATATCCTATTAACCGGTTCCGAGAAATTTAATTTTCGTTATAAGGTCGACAACGTGTTTGTGGGCCACTACGTCACTTTCCCTTAAGTGAACTTTAAGATCTAATCATAAAGAAGTCCAAGTATACATTCATAAAAATTCATTTCAAAATTATGTGTACTTTTCTACAATACTGATTATTATCATTATTTTGATGCATTGGCATTCATATTAAACACCATTTTTTTGTTTACAGAACCAAGAGCAAATACAATGGCCATTATACAGTCCTGTTGTTGCTGGAGGAGCCTTCGTTGCGGTTGCTACGCATCGGCGTTTTATACGATGGTAACCTTTAGCTTTTTTATAAAAAAAAATGAGGCGGCCATATCGTCAAATGCCATAATTTGACCAAAGCTAAACATGAATAGTTGTGTACTTGCTGTGAGAATCTCTTAACCTTAATTTTGCCCAAAGTCGAGAGGCGACTTAGGGATATTCGTCTAAATCGCCTCTTATAGCACCTCACAAAATAACTGTTAGATATCAGTATAGCTATCTAGTATTTCTCTTGTTCTTCCTTCTTGTGCTTCTTGCCTAAACGGGTTTTTGTTTGCCATAAACGAGATGGTTATAGTGCCATCTATCGGAAGCGATAGACCGTGTATCCGATCTTATCGATTAAAAATCAAACTGGAGATACGTTGTCAACCCTGAGGACTAAGACGGAATGCCTCGTTTTAAGTAAAGAGGATCTCCGGTTCGTCACACTCACTGTACGAAACATAGCTATAGAGTAAGCACTAAGCTGCTATTTTACGCTGATTTACTGTGAGAGCGTGGTCCTACACCGGTTGAGCCGACCCATTCGTGCTACAACCATAATATAACTGCAGCGTGGCTCTACCACGTGTATAATTATTTTAGTCACCCGTTTTTCATGTAGCATCTTCGCCCAACTACTCCTAGGTGAGTGAGTATGTGTGCTTGTGTTTGCGCCTACACTTTACCTTCTGCTTATTCAAATATATATAATAACGTAAAATATTTTTAAATATTTTTAAACATCATTACTTACTACAATGTAAAATACAATTTTACCACCGTATTCGATCTGGGTTTGAGTGGTTTTAAAATCACAAAATAATCAGCTTTGAAAATAAAGGAAAGCAGGAATTATTTAATACTAAAGCGCAAGGATGTGCAAACTGACGAAAATGACGATTAAATATCTCGCTAAAAAACGGTCTATTGAAGGTGGCATGAAAGATAACATAATTAACGTAAAGTACCACATAAAAAACCAGCATCCGTAAACTTCAATCCTCTTTACACCCTGCGAATTAACGAATGAGATTAGCATTTTACCAATAGTGTGATAGCCGCAAGGAACATTTTATTAAAATGAAGAAAATAATTATTTTTTCTTTATCATTTTAAGATAGATATTTCAGTTCGGCATATTTGTTTTACTATTACGCTCTAATCCTATCTGTTGTTAGGCGATGATGCAGTCGAAGATGTTAAAGCGCAATACAGCTTTACAAAAGCCTATTCACTCCTGACTTAAGGCACTCAAGTTATAATCCGATGGAAAGACAGATGCTTGCACATTATTTCACTCCTTTACTGTACGCATTATGAACGACAAACAAAATATCCAAATCACCATCAAAGCATTCGTTGTTAAATGTTTACGATTACACTCCTTGTCTCTACATTATTTTATCACAATAAGACAGTGCGATGCACCATCCACACCACCACTTACCAACAGGTTGAGTTGTAGTCAAACACCGGCTAAATAAAAAAATATGAGCATAAGTAAAAAAAATACCTTATTATATTTATTGTTGTTTAGTCTACACTTCTAAATGATTATTTTGAGAATTCCCATAGTTGCCAAGCTTGACATTCTTATGCGTTTTGATATAATAGTTTTATTTCTTGACGTAAAGTCATGTTCGTTCGGATGATCTTAGCAGTACATTAAGTTACGGCATATACTTAAGTATTAACTCTAGAGGGTACCTATACCAAATTTGCAATGCTTTGCGAGTAGACTGGCTACCAGAGTGTGCATTTATGATCGTATGCCTGGAACACGAACCTTCGAGTATCAAATGATGTAAAAGCAATTTTAACTGTAATTGTCTTAACAGTTTCATGTTCAGCTATACGCAATAATATAATTCGTATCAACAAATAACTCGTATCAACAATAACTATAATACTTGCTGAATTAGAGATCTAGATTATATTTAGATTGCAAAATAAAAATAATACGAATACGTGAGGGTAATATGGTCCTCCGGTTAATATAGTCACTTCTCTGACCTCAAAATCTACAGCCTTGTTTGCATATATCTCTTTGATACGAGATAGCTCTTCAGCAGCCAGTCAAATAATAAAATAGCAAAGAGGACGATGCTTTATCCATTTTGACAGTGTAGTTTTTTTTAAGTTGATTTTACGAAGTTTTTTTTGCTTAATAAATTAGTTATAGTACTTATACGACTTTGTATTTTGTTTCTGTTCTCCTCCTATGTAATATAGGAGGAAGACAGAAACAAATCTCAAAAATTCAAAGTTTAGAAATACCTTTTGCCGTTTCTCATTAATTCATTCTGCAATAACTTTGTAAAAGCGTGCGTGCTCACACGAATTAAACGAATCTTTTACGTAAATCCAAACATTTGGTTATGCGAATAATCGTTGAAAATATTTAAATAATGGAACGTTAAAAATTTTTAATTTGTTATTTATTAAAAAAAATGTTATAGTTGCAAAATAAATAAGTAACGAATTAAACAAGTCTAATTATTATATTAGTTCTTCTTTCTTTTGTGTGAATCCCACTGCGGCGAAGTTTCGAGTAAGTTTAAAAGACGGCTTGTTCAGGGTTTTTCATTACGAGTGCTTGAACTTTTAAATGGACTTTTATTTTATTTTAAAGGACATTCGATGACATTATATATGGCATATAATTTCAGCCAAACAGCTCCGCTGTAGATGGTGTGTACTGGTGAACCAATTTTGGACCACATCTTCGCATAAATGGTGCCTAATTTCATTCGGAGCTTTCACATGTCCCAACAGAAAAGACAACAAGACTTCGGTGGCCGTTTTTAAGGTGCTAAGATTAAGAGTGTGATCTGAGAGTTTTTGTGTTCTTCTGCGGCAAGTCTTACAGAATTTTACTCTGACCACATGGACAGCTTCCACGAGCGTGTTGTTCATATCGTCCACTGTATTACAGTCTTATAGGCACTGAAAACGGTTTGGTAATTCGAGCTTAAAGTTTTTGGATGGATTAGCGCATGAGGAGGATGGAGCGTTAACTTCATTGGACAAGACCTCTCCAACTTAACGTCTAGTGTGCCTCTAACCATTGATGTGAACCAGTGATCGCTGCTAGTTTTTATCCTCGCGATCACTGAGACATCACTAAACAGTTGGTGTCTGGTCGTCATAATGAAGTCAATCTCAGTTTTTGTCGAACCGTCGGGGCTTGACCATGGCCATTTTCTGTGGGGCCGCTTCTCGAAGAAAGAGTTCATCATTCAAAGTCCCTCATTCTCTATGAAGTCAGCGAGCTGCAGGCCCCTTGGGCTCTGTTGCTCTATGCCGATATTTCCTGCCGCCGGGGACTGGGAGTCGTTTGCTTTTGTCGTTGCTCATGGGGGGATATTTGCCATAGTTGCGACGCTTGGCACGCGGGTTGGCAACCGCAGTTTTTTAATTGTATAATTTCTGTTATCAGAAAAATGCTGCTGCTGATCTCCTGCCTGCGTCCCTCTGTCGCCCCTTACAACACCCACGGGAAGATATGTGGTAGTAGATATTCTCAACCGCCACTACATGGCATCAATATCTCTTAAGAACGGAATATTGTATGTATTTTATAGGATAGGATGACAAGCGAGCACTCAGTCCACCTGATGGTTAGTAGCTGCTGCGGCCCATAGACATCTACATCTATCATCGATTACAAATCAAAATGCAGATGTTTGTCACCCGCAAGGACTAAGATGAAATGCCTCATTTCCAGTAAAAAGGGTCTCCGGTTCTCTACATTCACCATACAAAACACAGAAGCATTAAGCTACTATTTTACGCTGGTATTCTGTGAGAGTGTGGTCTTTCCCCCGGTCGAGCCGACCCATTCGTGCTACAACAATACTAATATAACCACAGCATGGCTCTCACTGCAAAGTGGGCAAATTTCAAATGCATTCTTAAATCAGCCTTAACCGCTCAGTCACATCAGTGTTTTAGTCAGATGTTATTTAAATTTAAATTTAAGAAACCGACAAGTTAACATGAATTATGATTTTTTAACATTATGTCATTTTCCGAACTGCACGCATGCGAAGTGCAGGCAAAAGCTAATCTAATGTAAGTTTTTATCTTTTTCAATTATGTTTGAATTAAGTATCGAATTTACTATAAAAGTAACACGGTAATATCAAATGAATACATTTTTTCTTCATAACCTTTATATAGGTATTCTTGATTTGGCTTTTGAGGTACCACTCGCAGTTTCGAGATGCTCCAAATATGGAGCGTGTTTTTCCATTTCATTACAATTGTTAAAATTAATGTTTTCATGTACGAGAATATAATATAATAGATAAAACGGTGAAGAATTAATAAAATGCTCGATGTTTTCGTAAATGATATATGACATGTACAAAAACGAGAGCGGATTTATAAAGGAATTGAGCACAAGTTTTCTTTTCCTTACTGAAACAAACATTCTCGGATGCTTATCCAGGATTAAACATATGAGTACCTAATTTTTGGCTCACTACAGAAGGCGGAAAAACATAAATCTCTCCAACAGCATGTTTATCATTTAGGTAAATTGTACAAACCAAACAACAACTGTTCAGTTATGTCTCAGTAACCGTCAGGTCTAACAAAGTCAATGCTCCGTCGCCCTCATGCTTTTATCCAAAGCCCCGAAAACTTTAATCTCGAGTTAAAAGATCGTTTTCAGTGACTTATGAAGATTTAATTGAAGCGGAGTTAAGTTAAATGTTATTAATACTTGCCACGGCGGATTGGCAACCAAGTTTTTTTTACGTTTAATATGCGTTCAATCTATCTGGAAGATATTGCTGCCCACATCATGGCTTAATTCCCTCTGTCGCCTCTTACGACTGTCACGGGACGATATGGGTTAGTGGATATTCTTTCAAGGCCACTACACGGTGAAATAAAGGGTAGGCCTATGTTAAGCAGCGGTTTTTTATAGGCTGTAATGGTAAAGGTAAAATATTATGATAATTAAAAAATAATAAATAAATATTGTTATTAATAAGTTTTACTTTAGCCTTGTTTACAGGTACACGCACTCATCTTCTCCATATACTTAGAATATACTGGCGTAATATATTCTAAGTCTATGCATCTTCTCCATGTTTGTTTAGGTACTCTTCTTTGTTATTCATTACAGTCGCATAATATCTATTTATATCGGACACGAACTCGGACAAATGAGTGAATGCTACTCATGTGATCTTTAATTGTCTATGATGATAGAATTCGATTTTATTTGGACAGAAGTGCAACCACCAACTTATCTTGTACTTAATTAAATGTATTTGTGATTATTTTTGTAATATTTGATTCATTAAGAAAGATTTTTGTTTTAAGGCTTACTTCGCCGTAACCATCGTAATCATGGGACATTTCATAGAAGTTGAAGAACGTTACCTTAGTGGCAAAATGAAAGAACCAGAATCAGAAAGTTTTCTGGAACCTGATAAAATCACTTCAAGTAAGTACGATAAAATGTATTGTATGATCACCTTTGTCATCGTCATCATCAACATGCAAGTTCAATTCTAGACTATTTGTCCTAAAATGCTACCTTATTTTAATTAACAATGTTATTAGTGTAAATAAGTTTTAAAATTTACCAATAGTAATTATATATTAATATATATTAATTTTCACGTTTATATAAAATTACTTTTATTATAAAATCATATTTATTTTATGATTATTGTATTAGGGGTTAAAATACGAGTTTTGTGTTTTTATAAAAAAACAGTCATTATCTATATTCATTTTTGTTCTTTTTTATTTCTCTGATATGCAAACCTGCTGAAATGGAACAATCCGAACTGCGCAAAATATGGTTAGTCAGTTGGAGCTAAGACATCTGTTGTTATTTATCCACCGGATCTCAGAAAGGTAAAGTGAATTACATCATGAAGTGACCACCAAATAGTTATCATTCCATCTCTATGAGTGAACTTCACTTTAAGGCATTATTCCAATATTTGTCCATGGTTCAACCATTGCATTTATCGCTTGGATAAAATAATGACCTGCAAATAGCAGATCTCCGAAGTAAGGCGTAAAGTTGTTACCACCCTGCGTTACCTTTACTTTTTTGAAACATTTCCTACTTTTCAACCCCAAGTTTCTACCTATTATCGATTACGCAGATATATGTTACACAAATCTGTCACAAAATGTATTTAGCAAGTTGGAGAGCTTTCTTATTATTTCCATAAGATTTATTATCGGTTTACGTAAGTATGAACACATGTATTCCTATATTAGAAAGCTTAAATGGCTACCTATACGTTAAAGGCGATTGTCCAGGATTTTACTTGAGCTTTATTCAATTTAAACGATCCATGGTCGCGATCTTTTCTAAGAATAATTTTCATTTTGTTCTTTCGAACATCACGATAATCAAACTTTCTCAGGTTTCAGGTTAATATTCTTCAGAATATGTCTGATTTTATTAGGTCCTCTTTAACGTTACAGTCTATATACCTTTGGAATACCCTTTTCAATGATATCAAGAATGCAAGCAATATAAACTTTTTTAAAGTATTTCTACGACAAATAAACTAAGGGCAATTGCTAACTTCAAATATTTATTTATTTATTATATTAATACGGATATTTATATATTAGGTTTAAAAACATGAATACATATATTGATATATATTGATTGACTAATCGTGTTACAAAGCCGTAAATGCAAACAAGGCTGTAGTTTTTCAGTTACAAACAAGCGATCATATTAACCGGATAACCATATTACCCCCACGTATGCAATTTTTAATTTATGTACACTTTATATAAATAATAAGTTTTACATCTGACCACAGTTACCTTTGGTGTCCAGGGTTGACTGACAGATTATGTCACACATTAAGTTCACCTTTTACACCCACAGCATTAGATGTAACATTCAGACCTTTTAATCGCCTCCCACCAATAATTCGTCATTTATTAATCTTAGTGTCTGGTCTTCTTCATGGTTCATTGTTCAATTCGTAATTTTTACTATGAAAACGATTAAAGCGAAAACGCAAAGTGCGTTTGTTAATTGATATTGCCAGCTGTCTCTGCGGCGTTAGAACAGAAACAGAGGTAGTTTTGGCGGGAACTTGGCCGTAGACGGGTTGACGCTCCTGTTTTGTCGCTTGAATAATGGTTTGAAGTGGATTTTGATTCGTAAAAGTGACGCGATTTTGTGAATTAAGTGTCCGCGCGTGTGAACTATTAGAGAAAACGACGAAACAAGTGCTTTGATGTTGATATAAACCTCAAGTTATTTTGATCGCTTGGGCGCCTTATGAACTTGAGTGGCTGTCGTCATCAACTGTCCGCTAGGTTGAGCTGTCGTCAAAATCTCCTAAGGTCTTCACAATGTAACGCATCAGCATTGTGAAGAAAAAGAACATAAAATGAAGATTCCCAAAAGAAAGGATAGGCTCAGAAGGTCTAGAAACCAGAGCCGTAAAGCCAGTTAATAAAGAAAAAAACAGAAACAGAATTTTTTTATTCAATATAGATTATAGATAATACTTACTAAAAGTCACTTTTTTAATTTATAACTTGTTTGGATAAAAACTCTGTCCTGGTAAGAACCAGCGAAAACTTAGCGGTACTTCTTTCAAAAAAAAAACAGCTTACATCATATACATGAGTATGTTACATTTAACAACACAAAAAAAATTAGAAATAACTTGGAATCCATCACCTCTCCCATGGGTTATTATCATCTATAAATTCCTTAACATTATAATTACCCTTTTTTACAAACTTAGTTTAATAAAGTTTTTGAACTTTGTGCAGCTCACATTTTGAATATTTTCTGAGATTTGTTGCAAAAAAAAAAAGCGTAATACATCGCCCCAAGAATGAATTGCCGAGTCGGTAGAGTCGAGTAACTGGTATTAATAGCTTGCGAATTGAATAACACTAATTTTTGTAAAACTACTTTTAGTTTTGGGATCGTACATTACATTTTCATAAATTTATTAAGAGGCCGAAGTTAATATATTCCTTTCCATAATTTTTTTTTCTGAGAGAATCTTTAGGTTATAAATCATAAGAACTCGTACTCAAAAATTACTCAAATTTTAGATGTCTTCAAGTTTAATTCATTACTGAATTTCAAACATTTGAAATTAAAACATTCAGTCACAATGTTTTTGAATTTGCAATGTTATTTTTTTTTGTATAAAAAGTTTTAATCATGTTTTTACCATGCAAGTTTAATTTAAATTCAAAGTGACCGCCACCACTGATACGGTAACTTCTTAATTAGCTTAAAGACAAAGTACCTACTTTTTCAAAACTATTTCCCGGTTAATAAAGGGGAAATCTATTAGCAAATACATAGATCGCCGTACTGCAAGACGGCCTTAAACCAAAACTTGAGACGTACTAGACGTAAGCGTAGACGACTAAATAGTCTACAAATGACTGCCAGCTTAATGGCAACTGGAGCTAATATGTGATCATCGCCTGGAGCGGCTCTTAATGCACTTCTATACCTAACGCCCCTTGATCTCTATCTGGACAAGGAGGCGAGGGCTAGTTTGTATAGGATTAACGCCCAGGGCGGTCTGAACTTGCTCTCCTACAGATTGAGATCCATGCTTGACTCAATTAAGGAATCACAGGTCTTATGCATGATCTCAGATATCATGCGTCCACTACGTACTTTTGATAAAAAGTATATAGTGGAATTACCCTCCAAAGAAGACTGGCTGAATGGCCAGGTTATCTGTAAGTTCGGTAGCCTCATATGATATACCGATGGGTCTAAAATGGGCCTCGACGTAGGCTTTGAAATTTACGGGGAACGCTCCAAATTCAAACTTAGCGTGAATTTGGGTAGATACACCTCCATCTTTCAAGCAGAAATTTTCACCATACTTAGGTGTGCGGAAATCAATCTTCAAAAACTCTACGTCAACCATATACTTTACATAAACTCTGATAGTCAAGGAGCATTGCTAGCGCTGAGGTCAAACTTAGTGAACTCGAAGGTAGTTCGATACTGCGTGAACCGTTTAAACGCCCTGGGATGTAACAGGGTCGTTTTAAGATGGATTCTGGGTCACGAGGGTATTGTAGGCAACGAATTTGCCGAAACACTTGCACGAGAGGGCTCAAAATGCACACAATTTAGACCTGAGCCATTTTGTGGAATCTCAAGAAGCCTAGCCCGATCGACCCTTGAAACTCTTTATCACAATAAATCACTTAAGATCTGGTCTGACACACCAGGCTTAAAACATTTTAAAACCTAAATCCTTAATTAAATTGATCGTAAATCTGCTTCAGATGCCCTGGGATTAAGTAAAAATAAATTGCGCATTCTGGCAAGAGCCCTAACTGGACACTGTTCAAACAAAATTCAACTTGGTTGGCGTTCAAGAAATAACGACACATCTTCTCGTCTGGTATACCTCATTCTCTGAAAACTAAAGTGTACAACCAGTGCATGTTGCCAGTGATGACTTACGGATCTGAGATGTGGTCCTTCACTGCTGGCCGTATGAGGACGCTGAAGGTCGCTCAGCGAGCTATGGAGAGGGCTATGCTTGGAGTTTCTCTGCGTGATAGACTCAGAAATGAGGATATTCCGCACTAAAACCAGAGTGACCGACATAGCCCAACGGATTAATAAGCTGAAGTGGCAATGGGCCGGCCATATAACTCGAAGAACCGATAACCGATGGGGAAGAAAGGTTCTCGAGTGGCAGCCTCGTATCGGTAGGCGTAGTAGGCGTAGGGCGACCCCCTACTAGATAGAGTGACGACCTGGTAAGAGATGCAGGAAGTCGATGGATGCAAGTGGCTCAGGACCGAGCTTTGTGGCATTACTTGGGGGAGGCCTATGTTCAGCAGTGGACTTGTGAAGGGCTGTAATGATGATGATGATGATACAAAGAGCCCTAAATGCTGTAAATTACTGATGTAGGGATAACAGTTTATGAGTTAATACTAATAAAACTGGTATAATAATCCTTTGCCAAAAAGAGACGTAAATAGTTGCCTTGGTAAAAAAAGTACCATTCTCCTCTGAAGTTAAGTACTTGGGCTTAAAAATCGACCAAAAATTAACGTGGGACTTTCACCTTAGCAACGTATGCATGCCATAAGGCAAAAATTGCTTTAGGTACGTGCAGTCGTTCGGTCGGGAACAACTGGGACTTGCGTTCCAGTATGATACTATGACTGTACAGCAACACAATGAGGCCTTCACTGTCAACTGTGTAAAATTGTGTAACAAGGCCAACCAACAGGCGACTGCGGACAAACTAAATAAATAGTTTACAAAGGACTGCCTTCTTAATGGTAACTGGAGGTATACGATCATCGCCTAGAGCGGGTTTTTATGCACTTCTATGCCTAACGCCCCTTGATATTTATCTAGACAAGGAGGCGAGAGTTATTTTGTATAGGATTAACACCCAGGGCGGTTTAACCCCGCTCTTCTACAGATTGAGATCC